CTTCGCTCTCTTCGCTCATGGCTCCCCTTTCGCTCCGCGTCTCAACCGCTTTTCCGCCCTTCGGCTCTGCCGGCTTGCTTACACTTTCCATTCGCGCGCGGGCGCGCGTGTTCGCCCGGCTCCGGCGGAATATAATGTTTGGCTTGCTTCCGCCCCTCTGGTTTCCCCAATGCACTAATGCAATTCGTTAATTAGATCCGCGGCGCGGAAGGGGTCGGAACTGCGAAAACATCGTCGAACGTGAACGCCACGAGAGAAGCCAATTAAGACGTACGGAAAGCTTGGCCCTCCCTCTCCCTCCCTCCCTCCCCTCTCTTTCTCTCTCTCTCTCTCTCTCCTTGTCTCTTTCTTGCTCGCTCGCTCACGTTCTCTCCCCCCCCCCCTCTCCTCTCTACGGCTTCCACTAGCGTTGGATTATTTCGTTAGCGAAAATTCCTCGCGTCGAGAGCGAATCCTTTCTGCCCTATTAATTGCTAATTATAGCGAGGATAATAACGATGAAGAGGAGCCTCGCGCACCTCGGTAGCAGCAGACACCAATCGCATCGAGAGAAAAGTGTTCGGCATTCGCGAAACTGTAATTACACGGTGAGATAATTACGACGGGGAAAATCGTTTTCCTAGCACCTACTACTGCCGCTGCTGCTGTTAGCTTGTCGCCCGATAAGAAATGTTCCGCAGGAGGATTCCGAGGATAAGAATTTCAGAGCGAGACTCTTGTCCCCTCAGTCTGGTCGAACTTGTCCGCGGATGAAAGAAGCGAACCTCTCCAGAAGCGTCGCGCCACTCAGTCTTCACGTCTGAAGCGATTTCACGTCACTCGAGCGACACGATCATCGTGGAGAACGTGGTCGGCTTCCTCGAGGATCGCGACGCAACTCGCTTGCGTCGTCTCAGTAGAGACACGCGCTTTCGCCAACTTCTCTCTCTCTCTCTCTCTCTCTCTCTCTCTCTCTCTCTCTCACAGATCAGAAGAGAAAAAGGACACGCGATTCCGTCGCACGGCTCATCCATGGATCAAACGATGGAACGAACGAACGACTCGTCCGATTCGCAAGCGCGAATTGGGACTTCGGCGAATTCAAGGATCGCGTGCATCTCGATTTTATCGGGAGTCTCCGCCAGGGCCAAACGGGGAATCCCGCGCTTGCGGAGGGCCGCACGCGAAATCATTTCGTGCGGTAATAAAACAGACTCGAGGCCGCCTCTCGTAACAGGGTGCGACCAGGCCGAAGGATACAAGTGCGGGAGCCGATGGCCGAAATAAATGGAAATAAATAACCGAGGGCGGATCGTCGAGAGAGCGCGGGGCGGCAGGAAGAGCGGGAAGAGGAGGAGGAGGAGGAGGAGGAGGAGGAGGAGGAGGAGGAGGAGAAATCGAGGGAGGAAAATAGGGTTGTTTCGGTGGGCGTATAGGGTCAGTAACATCGCGTCATGCATCACTGGAAACGAAGGAGCGAGCGAACGCGCGCTCGCTGATGTCCGTTCGATATTTGCACCCTCTTGCCGCCGGCCGCCCCCGCCGCGCCCACGCCGACGGGGCGATGCCATATTTGTACGGACGAATTTATCTTTCCCACCTCTCGCAGCCAAAAGCATCCAGGACATCCAGGAGCAGGACCAAGTGTGCGGCTCGCACGTGCGTGTCCCTCCCTGTCCGCTCCGAGTCGGTCGCAACCCTGCTGAGCGACACATTTTCGCCGCGAGTCTCCCGAACGAGCGAGCGAATAAACGAGAGAGAGAGAGAGAGAGAGAGAGAGGAAAGAGAGGAAAGAGAACGAAGGAGGAAGGGACGGTTACGTGACGACCGTGGAATATGATTAACGTTAACCAACGCGTCGCGCGCTCGTAAAGTGTCTTCAAAGTACATTAACTCGACGAAGCGTACGAGTCGCGCGCGCGCGCGCGCGCGGTACACTTGCTCAAGAGCGCTTCAAAGAGAGACAAAGGGGGAGAGATTCGGGAGGAGAAGTTACGTAAGATTGTGTTGCAAAAGTGACGTACTTTCTCTCGATCCGAGATTCCCCGCCGACACTTTTACCCGGCGCGAAGTTGACGCCGAGAGACCGTTGCTTTTCGCGTCGTTTTTTCGCCCGTTCGTTGAGCAATTGAGCAAGCTCACGACTATTAATCTTTGCGCACAATCGACGTTTTCTTTTTTCCTCCCTCTCTCTCTCTCTCTCTCTCTCTCTCTCCCCTTGCCCATCCGTCTCTCCCGGTTGGCCCTCGGAATTAGTGGACCGACGTAAAATACATTCAATTCCACGGACACTTCGGCGACCGCCGTCTAGTATTTACGATAGTTTTGAAAACTACGACGACATTCCGGGCGTTATCGTTCATCCGATATTTTTATCCTCGCCGCGGGATACGCTATAACGCGCGCGAGGCCCGGGCGGAGGGGTGGCGCGAGTAGGCGCCAAGAGGGTTTTATCGTACGAGATCGTTACGAGTATCTCACTCGTCACCATCATCGTGGTACATCGCGCCGGGCTCACATTTCTTCCGGACCACCGGAGATGTCCAATATCTCTCTATGAAGCGATCTTCGGCCGAAGATCACGGCGGGGGTTAGCTTTAATATTTCGCCGGGGCGTGAGCGGTTCTCCTCCAAAGCCTCGGCCCCCGTTAAGGCTCGCACTTTTTTAGCGCGGACTCCGCGTTTTGGAAAATGACGCGCGTTTCCGCGATATCCGCTATCTCGTCGCGATATAACGACACGCGATCCTTTCGAGGACCGGCGAACGTTGTTAGATGTACGCGTGCATAGATGACTCGGTCCAATCCTGGAAACAGGATGCCGCACCAGTCGCTCGTTTCGTCAACGACGCGCGAATTTTTCTGACCGACTGACTGCAGTCGGTTTCTTTATTATGCGCTCTCGAAGCACATCAAGCGCGGTGAGTAACGATTGAAGTGAGCAGGAAAGGACAGATACGCGAAAAAGATTCGCACAGATCGCGATGACAAACGAGGGAAAACGCGTCTTTGGCAGCCAAATATCTGCTTCTCACACGTAAACCTCGGGAAACGTCAGACGCCGATTTGTTTCTAATTTTTTATAGTTACTTTTTATGTCAAAATATGAAGAAATCTGTTGTCATTTTTAGCTTAAATTAATTTTTTCAATTTTTTCGAAAATTTTTCAAGTTTTGCACAAGTAATCTTTCGACTCACTATCCAGCAAACAAGCTCGATTTAACGTCAAAATCTGGCAAAAAGATGAACAAGAAATGAACAAAAAAAGAAGAAAAAAATTTTGCAGAAGAGTAAACTGTCGTTGCAGCCAACGTCGAATGTAGCGTAAAACTGAACACTTCTTCAACAATGATGTCAGCCTGACATTAGATCCGCCATTTTGAATTTTACAAAATGGTTCCGATTCATAATCGGCGACATGTGTGTGCAAGTTTCAACAAATCAGGTATATATATTTTTAAGAAATATTGTTTTAAATATGTATAAAATAGCGTACTTGTGCAGAACTTGAAAAGTTTCGAAAAAATTGAGAAAATTAATTTAAGCCAAAAATGGTAACAGATTTCTTCATAATTTTCGACGTAAAACATAACTGATAAAAAATTGGAAACAAATCGGCGTCTGCGACGTTTCCCGAGGTTTATTCGTCAGAGGCGAGTTCGATTCGCGACAAGATCGCCGATTGCTGAGGAAGCCGCGTTATCGCGGACGCGATATCAGCTGAGTCAAGAAGCTCGTTTCGACCTTCTCCGGCAGGAAGCGTCGCGCGAAAAGCCACGCGGGCGGTTGCGAGGAAAAAAGGAGGAAAAAAGACAAGTAGTCCCGCTGCAAATTACACTCGTTCTCTCAGCGTCAAACATGCCTTTTTGTCATCCCGGCGCGAAAGAGCAGCAATAACGATATGCATACACAGTCGCTCGACGACTAGCGCTCATTACCGAGACGGTTCCCCCGGCACGGTGCAATCATCGTGCGGCTAGCAATTACAGTCGCAAATACCGCACGCTTTCTTCTGTCGTCGATAACGACGCGGCGATTACCCCCGGGGGAGGAGGGGGAGGGGGGGGAGCTCGAGACCGAACTTACCGAGCGGCCGAGCGAATATTCGACGGGGAGAAGGAGCCAGGCCGCGCGCGGATCGGCGACAGAGCGGCGGTGCGTGCAGCAGCAGGTGCAACGTCGCCGTTACACCTAGACAAGCCGCGTCCTTGGCGGCGTAATCGAATATGTTGCGACGACGTGCGTTCCGTAATGCGCGAACGCGCGGCACACGTAATGGCCGTCATTACGTACGCAGGAGCCGTAGCCGCGCACGTACACGTAATTCGCAATTCCGAGGGATCGCGCGGTAATCGAGTGATCTCCTTGCGGGAAATCGGGGTATCGGACCGGATTGCGCGCGACCTTGCACACCCTCCATCCGGAGATGCGCGAGAGAGACAGCGACCCTGAGCGTTATGAGTCGAAGCCTCATTGTTCGCACGACGCGGCCGCTGATCGATGGACGAACGTACGATCGTGAGCGCAATGATGACGACGACGACGACGACGACGACGACGACGACTACCACCACCACCACCACCACCACCATCACCACCACGAGCACCGTCACGGAACCGTAGCCTCGACATGCACGAGGGAGGCGGTGTTCTTCGTGGAATCCTCTCCTCTGGACTTTGCCTCGGTCAGTCGGTCGGCCATGCGCATCATCGGACGCGCGATGTCATTATCTGCCCGCGCTGCTCCCCGATTGATGGAAATCGCCGACGCTCCGCGCCGAAGGCGAGTCGCGGCCGTTGCCGTTGCTTCCTGGCGGCCCCGTCATCGCCGCTGACTGTCGCGCGTAGTAGCCGCAGCGTAGCCGGCACGTGCTGGCGTGGTAGCGCGAACGATGACGCGCGCGAATTACGCTCGTGTGAGCAATGAGTCGCGGAAAAGGATCGGTCGCGCGCTGACATGGAAGTCTAATGGAGGATCGTGAGACAATCACGAGGAATATATGCGCTCGTTGCTTCACTTACTTGATTCTACGTGCTTTTGCGCGTCGCGCTGACTGAGCCGCCGGATTACGCAGGGGCGTCGCTTGGAAGCGTCCGAGATCGCTCATCGTCGCGGGAGGAGCCGAGAATCTGCGGTAAAAAGTCATCATGTCATCGGATGTCGGTGTGAATAACAAAAGGCGTAAAAGAATGTAAAAAGATACATAGATATAGACAGAAAGATACGCGAGATGCTGCGAAAAGGATCTGTACACACGTATATCGTGCTCCTCGCGTAGGATCGCCAGATGCGAAGTGACTGTTTCCGGGACATATTTTAGACGACGGTTGAAAAATAGGTTAGAGAATTTTAGTTAGATTTTAGAGACAGAGCGGTAAGAGATGCCGCTGTGCACTCACAACGAACAATGCGTGAATTAGGTGCCAGCAGAGAGAGAGAGAGAGAGAGAGAGAGAGAGAGAGAGAGAGAGAAACTCTCTGTTTTGGACGTCTTTGGACGTAAATCGTGCGATTGTATTGTTGTCCCACGCGGATGCCTCGGTTGACATGAATTTTCTTAAGTGGCACGTCGAGAAAAATTCGACCCTATGAATCGCGCTGACTGCTCTCAGGTTTCTCTCTGGTACCAGTTAGAAACATGAACGTTACGATGATGATTTTGTTGAAGAAATTCTGATTTCCCCGAGACACAGAAGACTTAAATTCCCGGACACGGGACAAGCTTAAGAATTCCGGGGGACGTTCCCGGAAATCCCGGCCATCTGGCATCTCCTATCTTCGCGCGAGCGAACTGACGGCGAAGCCTCGTGGCTCGCGGTCGTCCCGCGACGAATCTCGCGTGTTCGTTCGCCCGCCCGCTCGCTCGTTGCCTCAGCCGCGAGCGCCAAAGAGAGCGACTTTCGTCAGCGGGTGCGCCCGCGCTGCACGACCTGCTGTTACTCCTCGTCGAAATGCACGTTTTAATATCGCGGCTGCGGCGAACGGATGAACGGCGAAAAATAACGCGGTGGCGGCGACGGCGGCGACGGCGCGCACTTCGGTCGCGTCGTCTCGTCGGCGAACGAGAGAGAGAGAGAGAGAGCGAGAGAGAGAGAGAGAGAGAGCGAGAGAGAGCGAGAGAGAGAGAGAGAGAGAGCGATCGGGAAGCTGAAAGGGGGAGAAAGCGAGAGAGCGCGAGAGCAGTAGACTCCGGTTCCCCTCGTTTTCAGCCAGTCGTAAAGCCCGGAACGCCCGGAATGGACCTTTTGTGGGGTCCAACGAGGGCACTCGAGCGTTGCGATGCTCCCGGATGGACGAACGGACGCATGGACGGACGGACGGACGGACGGACGGACGAGAAACACGAGCGCCGAATACACTCATAAGCGATATCTCGAATTTTTACGAGGCTTCTCTTGAAAATATTTCGACCGATTGTCGGGGAGAATGCTTTCACGACGTCGTATGAGCCACCTCGCCTCCCGAGGGAGACCCCGATGTTCTCTCTCTCTCTCTCTCTCTCTCTCTCTCTTGTAGCTTATTAATGCGTCACGCGATAGGGACTTGACGCCTGTCTCCCCTCCCCGCTCGCCCCCTCGTCCTTGCCCGTCGTTTCTCCTCCGCCCGTGTTGTCCTTCTTCTTCTTGTTCATTCTCCTGCTGCTGCTGCTGCTCTTCCTCCTTCCCAGCCGCTGTCGTCGGCTCACCGGGCCGCCGCGTCGCGCCGGGTCCGTCTCAAGAACATGTAAAGAGGCTTTATCGGGTGTAAAATGGTGAGAGCACGGTGGCGAGCAGCGAGAGTCAAGAGGATCGTGTGACGGACGGGAGAGGAGGATATCAGCGGAGCAAAGAGCCGGGGGAAGCAGAAGGGTTACGCGCGACACACGCGATCGATAAGTTTCCGCTGGGACGGGACGCGGGAGGAGGAGAGGAGGGCGGTGTTGTTGAAGTCGGGGCTGGCGATCGGAGATCGGGGCCGCGATCCTTCTGAAACGCCGGGCAAATTTTGCGCGGACCGGTTTCGCCGATTACTTCGACCTTAGGCTACTTTGCATCCGTCGGGGCCGACGGCGAGGCGCCTTGCGAGCCTCGGCGACGGCTGTGTATCCTCTTGACGCGCTAAGTGCCGCTGACGATTTGTTGTTGGCTTTGCGCGAGTCACGAGAGAGCGCGGCCTTCGCGCTCTTCTCGTTCTGTCGCGAGGTCTCCTTCGGATCCGTCTAGTCCGGGCGACTTCCCGAGGATCCGCTCGTGGCGCCGTCATGCGTGTTCCTCGGCGAGACGAGCCGGAGAGCCGGAGAGCCTCGCAATCCGCAAGTTAGGCGAGTCGCGATCGATCGTCGCGACGAAAATGATACGGTTAAACCATAACGTCTCGCATCAGCTGGGGCCGGGGGTGGAAAGAGAGAGAGAAAGAGAGAGAGAGAGAGAAGGGCAGAGAACGGAGTGGCACCGATTCGAATCGAGATTCGCTGGATCGCCGCGCGGCCCAATCCTACGTCCTAACAGCCCTCGCGAGACGAATGTCTCGACGGCACGCGACGCGCTAGGAAATACACCGGAGCGTATTATTCGAGCGCGTGAACAATCGCGACGGCTAATTCGCACGCGGTCTTTTCGCGAGAGAGCAAGAGGGGAAAAAGGAAGAGAATCCATCGACCACATCGATCCGGCCGCCCGGCGCGGCGGCGAGTGCCAACGACGGGACGGGACAGGACGGGACGGGACGGGGCAACGGCGAGAGGAGGAGGTCGACGAGGAGAGATAAAATCCGGTTAATCGCTCCATGACGTCACACGAGAGCGCGCGGCCCGAGGAACACCGCGGCCGCAGCTACTCCTCTCTTCTCCGAGCACGCCGCACGGCGCGTTTATTAGCGGCGCGAGGGGCTCGCGGTCGAGCGTAATCCGATATTCCGCGATTTGCGTCTAATCGTAGCCAACCGACTGTAATCGACGAGTCTGATTTAAACGAGAATTACCGGTCGGCCGTGCTCCGGGAACCGGTTATCCCGAAGCGGAGAGCGCGAGCGCGATCAAGCGTGCCGAGCGGAGCTTGCGGCGGATGGCTCCGCCGAATTTTCGACGGAGCGATCGCAATGTGTTCTCACGATCGCTCCGAAAGGCGAATTCACCATCGCCGTCGCGTCGCGGGCTCGACTCCTCGTCGGATTTGGAGCTCGCTCCTTCCCCCCTCCCCCCTCCCGCGTCCCTTCCCGCTGTCTCCACCTACCTCCTTTGCCCGCTGTTCATCCTTAGTTTTAACGACGGTCATCGCGTGCGAGATGCCTCGCGCCTCGTCAATCTCGCCGGAGATTCTTTCATCATCATCGTCGATTCTTTCTAGCGACCTTGTGTGAAAAGAGTAAGTTCGAGTCTTTTCTCAGGTGAAACGCACCGGTTGTACCTTCAGGTCGTTATTAATTCCACGAAACGTCATGTGCGCGAGGAGAAGACCGCAGGTCGAAACGTATCACATGCATTTTTTCGTAAAACTGAAATGACAAAAAAGATCGGCAGTCGTTCCGTTTTACCGGCGGAATTATTCATCGCACGAGCCGACATTTATATCGAGTACACACCAGAATAGAAAAAAGAATTGATTTGCGGAATCAGCTGGAGCGGAAACTCGACGCCAGAAACGGCAGAGGGTTGAAATGCACCCCGTTGTGTGTGTGCGTAAAAAAAAGGAGAAAAAGAGAAAGAAAGAGAAAGAGAGAGAGGGAGAGAGAGAGAGAGAGAGAGAGAGAGAGAGAGAGAGAGAGAGAGAGAGAGAGGGGGGAAGAGTCGAGCGTCAAAGTCGCGGGCGCTCGTTAAGCGACCAAGGCGGAAGGCTGCGGCAAAAGTGCGGAGAGGTCGGACGCCAGGGGGGAGCAATCGCGTGGATTCGGGATCGCGTGAAAAATCACGAGTGTCGAAAAGAATGCATCCCCGCGCGCGCGCGCGTGAAAGCGCCGGTGCATAAATCGCGCGCTCAAATACGCGTTTCGCGTGACTCGCGGGACCTTCGGCGCGGGGAAAACGAGCGTGCAAACGGCGAGTGATATATGCGCGCTCATAATTTCATAATCTTGATTCCGGAGAACCACCCACCGTCCCTGAATCCCCTTTGCCTAACTTCCCCGTCCCTCCGTCGTTGTTGTCGCAGCAGCCGCCGCTCCCCCCCCCTCCTCCCCCCTCCCCGCCCAAGTCGGCTGCTGCAACTTGTGCGTTTCGCTCAGCCGAGTAAATACGGCGCGCACGTAGGCGATTACGGTGGCGCAAACGACTTTTGATTCTGTCACTCGGTATTACCGGCAATTAGTCGATCGGCTGTTGATCACACGGCCCGCTTTCGAGGGAAACGCTAAGGCCGCTCTCCGCGCGCGCGCGCGCGCGGCGACGCGTACTTGCGCGCAAGTGTGTGTGCTTTGCCCGATGCAGTGGCGTAGGTAAACGTGGCAAGATGACGAGATTGCCGCGAATTACGCTGGCACACGAGAGCTCTTTCGCATTCAAATGGCACCGACGGCCGCGAGCAAGGGACGGACGGGCGTACTGAATTCCGCGTCTAAATCGTCCTTGCGTCTCCGGGCTGACGGGAAGTCTTGTTTCGTCGTAATTGCACTCTCGATCGCAGACGAGCATTAGGCGAGAGGTGCGAGGATTGTGTTAACGTGAGAATCGTACGCGAAATATACGCGCATGCTGGGACGTAGAGTGGGACGTATAGGAACGTCACGAAAATAATAACGATAACACACAAGAATGAAACGATACAAAAAGTGCCGCGTCCATGCGGCGAGAATGGGAAAAGAAGTTACCGGCCTTTAATAAATGTGAAATCTTCTAGCCGGCTTCTCACGCGCGAAGGAAAACTTGCCGAAAGGTGTTTCTGAAAGCACCTGTCGGGGGAGAACACTCTTGACGAGAATAGCGATCGTCTCTCGCCAAAGTCTGTTCCCAACTTTCGAAGACGAATACTATTCTCCCCGCAAGTTGCGTTCTCCGTGTCGCGACAAAACAAGCGCGTATCATGATGACGTATCGCCGCTGAAAAAGCGCGAAGAATCGGCGGCCGGAAGTGGAAGGGCTCGAAGGGGTTGGGAGAGAAAATAGAAGAAGAGGTCCGGCCACGCCACTGCTAACGGCGTGTTTACGCGGAGCGTTTAAC